TCCTTAATCTTGGTTCACCTTGTGAAAGGAAGTTCCACCCTTATATAAATCAACTTTGATAATAAGAATGTCTTGAGTTGGTGACAAGAATGAGTCTAATTCTTTTCCTTGGAGAATCCCTTGATTCCCAAGAAATTTTCTTTGTTCTTTTCAAAGTTTCGTTTTAAATTTTTTCTCCAAGAATCTTAGTTAAGGGCGTATGTAATTCTTAAACCTTCCTAGAGTCCATCTCTCCAAAATCCATTCAATATTCCTTCGTTCTTTTGGGCACCACCATAAGCTACTACCATCTAGAAAACACCACACTGTCTTACTCAACAAAGAAACACTTAACCTCCCTTCTTTTCCATGAACCAAGCCACATAAATCTTGGCTAACCAAGAAACACACCTAGTACATTTAAAGGCTTATGAATCATGTTGTCAGGTCCTTGATAGGTAAGTTTTTGGTAGTACGATTTGATGATATACTTATCTCTAATTTAACTATGGAAGAACATATAGATCAGCTAAGGTGTGTTTATAAAAAGATTGTTTATATGCTAATATGAAAATATGTAACTTTCGCATGGATAATATTATATTCCTAGTTTTGTGGGGAACTCCAAAGAACATTGGAATACACTTACAAGACTTAAGAGATACTTAAGAGGTTCAATGGATTATGTCATTGATAGTGAATTTCCTACTGTATTAGAAGGGTACAGTGATGATAATTGGATCTCTGATTCAGATGAGACAAAATCCACCAGTGACTATGTATTCACACTCGGGGGTGGTGCGATTACAGGAAAATCAGTCGGGCAAACAATTATTGCAAGATCAACAATAGAATCTGAATTTGTTGCTCTCGAAATGGCTGGTAGTGAAACTGAGTGGTTGAAAAACTTCTTAGTAAACATTCCATTAGGAATGAAACCAATCATGTCTGTATTAATGCACTGTGATTGTCAATCGACAATAGCTATAACAAAAAATAAGAACTACAATGGAAAAAACAAACATATACAATTGATACATAATTTAGTGAAATAGCTGCTAAAGAATGGAACAATTTCCATTGACTATGTGAAGTCAGAATGGAATCTAGCAAATCTTCTGACAAAACCCTTAGCGATAAATATGATTTTAGAAATATCAAGGGGAATGAGACTTAAGCAACTTGCAAACAAACAGGTGATGGTAACCCAACCTTTGTGATTGGAGATCCCATGAATAAGGTTCATACGGGTAAAAACAAGTCACTTGTTAGTTCTGCTAGCACTAAAATTGATTAAAATCAATTATGTCCATTCTTATGGTATATATGTAAAAGTGCTAGATACTACATTATTGAGAGGTTAAACTTTGTAATTAAAATTTTATGTGGTGTACGAATTTTAGTCTAAACAAAGTTTTTAACGATTTCATATCCCTTAAGGGTGGTGATGATTTGCAGCATACACTTAATGAAGTCACCTATATGAGTGTCGAGTGGGGCCGCTTGTATGAGATCTTTGTATGATTTCTAGAGCACTCATGAATACCGGGTACGCGCATGACCTACTAAGCGCAACAACAAGAATTGAGGGGGTGTATTGTGATTATTAAAATCACTAATACACATTAAGTATTTTGGTTCATATAGCTTACTACACCAATACACTGTGTGTTAAATTTTTCAGTCTAAGACTGGTTCATATAGCTTGTTATACCAGCTCTGATGCATTACATCTTATATGAGACCCAAAATTTTCTTCTTTTATTCTTTTATCTCCTTTTTTTGTTTTGCAATATGTGGGGGATTGTTGTAAATTAAGGGGTATTGCAAAACAGAGAACGTGTTCTCACACGTTGCAGAAGACCGTTTCAGATAACGTGTTCTCATACACGTTACAGGAGACTGTTTCAGAGAACGTTGCAGAAGATCGTTTCAGAGAACGTGTTCTTACACGTTGCAGAAGACTGTTTCAGAGAATGTTGCAGAAAAATGTTTACAGAGAAGGTTACAGATCCACTACAAAGTTTTCCCATAACTACTATACACATTTTTTCCTATAAATAGAGACCACTTCACACTCTTTAAGACAGACATCTCTCATCTTCTCTTCTCTGATCTTATTTCTGTTATCCTGGGTTAATTTACTCTTTTGAGAGTTTCTTGCTAGTTTCTGAGATCCTCGGATATTCCGAGAAGTTTCTGTTATATTCTGGGAGACTTGCGCAATATACCGCGGATAAGTATTTAAGGACAATGTTTATATACGTCTCAGAAATAAAGTTTGTTTGTGTCTCTGTCAAATTTTACAACAGTTTGAGTGAATGAAGTAAAGGTAAAAGTTATACAAGAATGCCAAACTCCCACGACTTTGAGGAAGCTAAGAAATTTTAATGGGTTAACTAATTTTTGGAGATGGTTTGTCAAGAATTTTATCACTGTTGCTTCTCCTTTCAATGAAATTATTAAAGAGTATGTTAGATTTAAATGGTTGAAAAGTAAGATAAATATTTCCATTAAAATATCTTTTAATTCATGGTTTCATTTTTGCTTTAACTTCAACCAAAGCTTTGAAATAGAGTGTGATACAAGTAACCTAGGCATAGGTATGATCTTAATATAAGAAGGACATCCTATTACATATTTTAATGATTTTTTTTTTAAAAAAAAAAAACATCTTGATTATTCAATCTAGGACAAAGAGAGTTGTATGTGTATCCTTCCCCACCATCTTTCATAGTTAGGTACGGTTTTAATTGAAGAAGGACATCCTAGTACATCTTTTAATTAAAAAAAAAATCATTTTAATTATTTAACCAATGACAAAAGTTTGTATAAGTATCCTTCCCCACTGTCTTTCATAGTTAATGAATAATATAAATTATGTTTCTCACGTTCTACGTGGTAGAAAAATATCAGTACATGTTTTAGTTTTCTAGGACTTTATAAATTTACTTTCTTTTTAATTTCAGAAATTTGTATTATCGTTTAATAAAGTTGCCCTGTATAGTAGAATTGTGGTTAATTATGACACGGATACAAGATGATTAAGCTCCACCTAAAGAATATGATGACATGCTTAGCATAAAGATCATGGACCACATCAAGGGCGATAATTTATGCTATGAAGATTTATAGGCAAAGAGAGTGTTCCCAGAACTAATTCAAAGAACTTTTCACGAAGGGTAAGTCAATCTTGGAAGATAGAAATGCAATATGAGTATTTGAGAATTGCAGTTAAAAGAATCTGATAACTTTTTCTGAAAATGTTTTTCTGTTCCTTTGTGATGTATATTCAGTTTTCATTTGATGGTGATACAGACCTCTTCAGTTTTCTCTTCGATGTTTATTACTTTGTTATCGCAATGCATAAAAATATCCCCATTCTTTTAGAATTATTACAAGATTACAAAGAGGTTGATAAGAAAGCTGACATGATTACAAATAAATTTGGCTTCAAATCTTCCCAAAAATGATAAAATATTACAAATATTTAAAATTTATGATTAATTAGTATTTTTATAAATATTTAATTATTATTATTATTACTATTATTATTATACTATAAAAACTTAATTTTTTGGCTAGTATAATCATTTTGTCTCGCATATATATATATATATATATATATATATATATATATATATATATATATATATATATATTAAATATAATTTTTTAAAATAGTTCATAAGATTCAAATTCATATAGGATATTGTTATGTACAATTAAAAGGTTAATATAAATTAATATTTAAGAAAAACATACTAAAAGTTCTTCTTGAAGATAAATGAATAACTTACTACATATTTTCTTTATTCTTTTTATTTATTTACGTATGATTAAAAAAGTTAAGTGAATAATAAATGTTAAAAATATTATCTTGAAATAAAGAGAACAATAAATAAAAGTATTTTTATAATTAGTTTAATAACAATATTTCATCAAATAAATTATTTTAATTATTTAAAATAATAAAATATATTAAAAATTATTATAATACATTATTACACGAATATACATTAAAATAAAATTCGCAGAAAATATTAATTTGAAATTATTTATTAAATTATTATTTAATATTTTCTACAAACTTTACTGTCATTTATTAAACATTTTCTGTAAAATTTTATCAAAAAAAAATTCAAAAGATATAATTTAAAAATTTATTGATTTTCTTACAAATTTTTATTTACAAAAATCATTAAATATGTCTTGTGATTTTTTTTTCAAAAAAAGTCTACTGCAGTTTCTTGTTCACTGTTTTTTTTTTTTTTTAAGTTCGTAATTAAGAAAAAAAAAAAAGGTTTTGTAATGTGTTATGTGTTGGAGTAAAGTTTTGTTTGCATAAAATGTCAAAGGGTGTATGTGCCTGATTTCTATTTGACTTTTCTTTTCTTTTCTTTTTTAAAAAGTTGAGAAGAGATCATATTTTTAATATCTAAGTCAACACTGACATCCATAATTCACAGTCCATGATGGTATATAAGGATCTATGAGTCACACCTTTTTTCTTACCACAAATTCGGCGTTCTAGTGTAAACTCAAGGAGACATGAAATATTACAGCATCTATAAGGTCGTGTTTAGGATTTGCGATGTTATGTGCAAGCTACATACTTTGCTTAATTGTCTGAAATATGACCAATATGAGGTCGATAACGTGAATATGTTTGATACAAATCATCTTAACAAAGCGTGGTCAATATATATGTGGGCTAATTAAATTATTCTTTGAGTTCTAGTGTCTCAGAGACTTTCACGCCTCATGCAGAGTGACATGCACGTTCTTTCAACCAGCCATTTTGGTCCATCAAATATAGAGATAGAGAATGAGCAAAAGAGGAGGCTACCCACTAGATTTTTATATAAAGCTGCTATTTTTAAACGTCATGGTTTATTTTGCACCATGCATCACGTGCCTTGTAACAATATATAGAGAGTTGGATGGAACTAGTTCAACATCAAAACAATAAAGCAGCAATGAAGCACTTAAATCTTGTGTTCATCCTAACCATTACCTCAATGTGCAGCATTTGCTTAGCACAAAACTCCCCGGAAGATTTCCTTAAAGGGCACAACGAAGCTCGCGCAGAGGTTGGAGTTAAACCACTGACATGGAACGAATCCCTTGTAGCCTATGCTCAGAAATATGCGGACTCGAAGAAAAAGGACTGCGAATTGGAGCACTCTATGGGGCCTTATGGGGAGAACCTGGCAGAGGGTTATGGCGATTTTAGTGGCGAGGATTCAGTGAAACTGTGGGTAGCGGAGAAACCCTTCTATGACACGGAGTCCAAAAAGTGTGTTAAAGATGAGTGTTTGCATTACACTCAGGTGGTTTGGAACACCACAGAGAGTGTTGGTTGTGCCAGAAGCAAGTGTGCCAATGGCTGGATGTTTGTCATCTGCAATTATTACCCACCAGGGAATTACATAGGCTTAGCACCTTACTAAGGGTTTTTAGTAATCCACCAAATTTAACTAAATATAAAACTTCCTTTAAATAACTTACAACTTTCAATATCATTGAAACTACTGTAAATAAATGACATCTTTACTAGTGTATAGTAATCTTTAGTTATTATTGTTCATTTACAGTAAACAATTGGTGTATACATAATGTGAACCTAAATATCAACATTTTATCTTACATATCAGTGTGTGTATATTAGTAAAGAAATTCTAATACATAGTACAACAGTTTCGAGAATCAAACTATGAAAAATAAAGAAATAGATAAAAGCTTAAATTTTTTTACAATTTGCCATTTTAATTAATTTTACAAATTTATGTCTCATAATGAAATTAATTTAAAATTTCTAAATATACTTATTTAATATTATATATATATATATATATATATATATATATATATATATATTAATCAAATAATATTAACATGACTAATATATTCATACACAACTCTAGACTAGGGATGACAATTAAACCCGTCCCCGCGCCCAAGTTTGACGGGAAAACCCGAGTTGACCGGGGCGGGGATGGGTAATACAATCCAATCCCCACCCCGACTCGCCCGTCCCCACCCCGACTTTATATTTAAATTTAAATTTTAAAATATTAATATTTTAAAAGTATTTTCTTTTCTTTTTCTATTACATATAAGGTCATTTTTTTATATTTTACCAATTTTTATTTTTTTTTCTACCTATTTTTTAATTTTTTTTACCTTTTTTTAATCTTTTATATCAATTAATTTATTATATTATTCTCTCTTATACCTTGTAGTTTTTCATATTTTCTTAATCTCTCTCATCAATTTGTATTTTTTTTTTCAATCTTTTCAATCAATTTGATGAACACAGTTAATTTTTTTATTCTTTATCTTTTTGTAAATATTTTACATAAATCTTAATAGTAACTAATATTATTTTATTTATAATTTATATTTATTAGGTTTTATTATGTCATTTGTTTATCTTATTATTCTTATTTATCATATATCAAATTTTATCTTAATAAAATAATTGTATTTTAAAGGATTAAAGGAATTGATAATTTAAACTTTTATTACTTTGAATTAATTGAATAATAATTAACTTATTAAATATTTCATTATAAACTATATATTTCATATTTTTAAATTACAACTTAAAAATGAATTAACTTATATATATAATCAAATGTTTGAATACAATATTATAATAATAATGATAATGTTATAAGTATTCAAATATTTGAATACGATATAATAATAATAATAATAATAATAATAATAATAATAATGTTATAAATAAAAATGATTAAATATTTCTTTTACATACATATTTTAATATAAATATAATAAATTAAAATGTATATTTAATTAATAATTATTATAAATTATAAAATTATAAATATTTATTTATATATAAAAAATAGATAGTAAAATTAATTTATTATAAATGTAATTATCTTTTTAAAAATAATATAGATCGGGGAACTTATAATTATATTTTCTTTATGTTATATTATTTTATCATCTATTAGAAGTTTGTCATTAGACAAATTTGAATCCAGTACCTTAGAGTTGAAGACTGATACTTCAACCAAGTAAGCTACTATGATTTTTTTGATAAATATTACAAATAAATTATATTTATATACAAAATATATAAATATAAATACAAATATATTTATATATTTTGATATATTTCTATATTTAATTTTTTTGATTTAATATACACTTTGAATGTCGGTTAAATTTTAACTGACATAGAAAATACTTTCTATGTCGGTTAAAATTTAACCGACATAGAAAGTGAATTTGCTCACATATAATGTCGGTTATATAACAACCGACATAAAAAGTTCATAATATTATTACAAAAATGTCACCGTTCTATATACAATGATGGGTGGATTACAACAACCATCATAAAAAGTCGTCATAAAATCATATTTTTCTACTAGTGAACATCTCTCCTTCAAGTGTGATTTTCTTTCACATTGGTATATCTTCCCCTTGAACCCATTTCTACCTAATGTGGAATTTCAAACTCACACTTGAATTTTCAACACACATTCCTCTAGTCTCCAATTTAAACAATAAGTCAACCAATGCATATATATGTATTTTTTTTCTTTTACAATTAAAAAAAATAATCATTTATTAAAAAAGATAGAATGATTAATTTAGTCTTTTAAACTATATATGAATATTTTAATTTAATTTTAGAATTTAAATAAATTAAAAGAAAATTTTAAAAATAACTTTTTTGTTAAGGTTCTAACATAAAAACAATTAACAATATGTAGAGTAGTCTATATTTAAACTGTGACATCCTTAATACTAACATTCACTTTATTATGATTTATTAATTATTATTGGTTCCTCTTAATATTTGATTACCAATACACTCTTGTAGAAGTAAGGTACACAATAATTAGAACATACACTTAGTGATTAATATACATATCATTCATAAGTGTCAAGTATAACTAGATAGTAAATATACATAAAGTCATCCCAAAATACACCTAACAAGGATTCACAATACCAGAGCAAACAAACTAACTAGACAAACTAATTATACAACCCAACTAAAGAGGAGATATATTTTGTACGTCCACTAAAATGAAGTATCTCTTGTAGCATCTGTAGTGGTGTCCGATCAAGTCTTCTAGTTAGTACTTGCGGTGATCGTATTTAAACTTTACTTGGAGATGATACTGGGGATGAGTTGTGTTCAACGTCACCTATGCAAACATTTCATAATAACAATACATGCACAGAAAGGGTAAGACAACTTTATATTCACTTAGAGCATGCAAATAACATTGGGTTAATTAGAAATTACATATACAAACATACTAGTAATCAACACACAAATGATATGATATTATGAATGCAATGTATTCACTAATCTTTTCTAGGACACATCCTAGTATGCAAGACCATGGGGATCCCAAAACCACTTTCTCTTTTCTTTTCTTTTTTCTTTTCGAGAAGGATCGGGAGTTTCACTGGAACCTCTCACCGCCTTGCAGTAGTATACTCATAATTACTTGTCCAGCTCAACTGATCATGAGAAACCACTGGGGCTTTAGTCGGGATAATCAAGCTTGGTAGTGAGAGTCTCACAGCTTAGGTAGCGAGCCTGAGCCACATATGAGCTCGATCACACTCAATCATCCCCGAGGTTAGCATGGAGCAGACCCCGATTTTCCATATCTTCCTCATACACTCAATCTCTGACTCATGAATATGATGCATGACTTATCATAACTTCTTCACACTCTTTCAAATTTGTTTCACCTCATTATACTTAAATCACATCTTAACTTCTTCAAAATAATACTAGGTTATTTCTTAAGAAAAATCTGACAGAGTTTCCCCTGTAAATCGGACATTCCCAAAATTTTTAACACCTGTAAAATTACCAAAAACAGCCCAGAACACTTCTACTTTTCACCAAACCATCCTTCCACCTCATCATATTCATCATCACTCAAAATCATAATTTTCTCAATTTTAATTTATTTTTCTTAAATAATAATAATAATTGCAAATAATTTCCTCAAAATTATTAAAAATTCATTTTCACTTACAATTACTTGTTTTCTCCTAGATCAAAATTATTCCAATACTTTTGAAAAATATTTATTAATTAAATAAAAATATAAAATTTCACTTCATAATTAAATTATAAAATTCAATTTAATATATAAAAAAAAATAGTTTTCTTTCTCACACCTTTCCTCCATTCCACCAAATTATACAATGCAATTCTATATGCTAATCCATCTTAACAAAAACATTGCACAATAATTTTCTACTTATCATGCTTCATAACATACATACAATATATCTCAATAATCAATTTAAAGTAATTATCAGAATACTAAACATAGAAATAGGCTAATTCTCAATCTAAATTAATCAATAAATCATATAAAATTACTAATGATTAAGCAATCGATTCAAACAACATTCATGGATGCCTTATAATCATACAAGGTTCCATACATTCAAGTTGCTCCATTTAGAAGCCATAAATTTCACATAATCTTAAAACTTTAAAAATTCATCAAAAATAGAAATGACATTCAAATAATTCCAAATAAATTTCTAATTAACTTAGAAGTAAGGGACTTCTTCTCAATGCTATTTCAAGCAAAAATGAATTATAAATTTATCCTACCCCTTACCTTATGTTGTAACTTGATGAAGAGTAACTCTTGATCAAATAATCTATCAAGTCTTTGGGTCTCCTCTTTGCACCTCTAAGTAGTCTCCTACATGCCAATTAAATACCCCAATTAAATCCTTAATTCCAACCATATTAGACCTCTAAAATTTCACCTCCTTCATAGCCTAAAATTCTAAAATTCAAGACTATGGTTCTTTGAGTTATAAAATCATTTCTAGGGCCTAAATTGATGCTAATGGAATTAATACAAGTAGAAGAGAGTAATGGAAGTAATACACTTAGAGTAGGAAGAATCCTAATAACAAATATGGACAAGGTTCAGTATTTCAGAATTTTCTAGAGTTATATAAGTTGTTTTGGCATGAGGTCAGAGCCAAAATTTCAATAACTTAATTAACTACAATATTGATGAAGGAAATAAATTCAAATACCCTATAGAATAAATGCAGTTTTTCAGTTTACATTGGTTGTTTCCAACATGGCTCAACTACAATAACACTCTGAACATGCCTTGGTAATTTGACCATAACTCATGCTACACATAAGCTATTGACATGAAACAAATTTCTAAATTTCGGAAATATAATTTTCTACAACTTTTATGAAGGAATCAAGTCCTAATTTCACACGTATCAATCCCAGTAATTCAAAAACCGAGGCTGTTGAAACAGGGCAACCTCTTAACTTCACAGCTATAGCACTTGACAGTAAAATGAACATAACTTGAGCTACAAATATCCGTTTGATGTGAAACAAGTTTCTAAATTTCTATAACTTAAAGGGCTACAACTTTTATGAAGATAC